TTGGTAGCAAGAAATGGCCTTCCCAAGATGATCGGGATGTGGTTAGTAGGATTGGCTATCGGTTCGATATCAAGAACTACAAAATCAACCGGCAAGTATAACTTATCAACTTTGATGAGTATATCCTCAACCATGCCCCTAGGTGTTTCGACGGATCTATCGGCCAATTAAAGCACCACCGAGGTTGGCTTCAACTCATTCAAGCCTAGTTAGACATACATGGAGTAAGGAATCAAATTAATACTCACTCCTAAGTCAAGAAGAGCTCTACGAACTTCATGGGTTGCAATTACACATGAAATGGTCGGAGCATCGGGATATTTGAACTTAGGTGGAGTGTTATGTTGAATGATGAAGCTCACTTGCTCCGTTAGGAACACTTTTTTAGGGCCTTGTCCCTTGCTCTTCCTTTTTTGTGTGCAAAGATCTTTCAAGAATTTTGCATAAGGCAGAATTTGCCTAATTGCATCCAAGAGAGGAAGATTTATGCTGACTTGTTTGAAGACTTCCATCATGTCATGGATTTTTCCTTCTTGCCTCCCAAAAGGCAAAGTTTCTTTTAAAGCATAAGGAAATGGAGCTTTTGGCTCATAAGACCTTGCAACTTGAGGAGATGATGAAGAGGGTTATGAGTTCTTGATGGTGACATTTTCATCCAAGGAAATAGGAATAACATTAGAAATGGGACGGGTGTTAATTTTTGGTTGCACCGGTTCACTATCTTTATTTGGTTGTTCAACCCTATTGTCAACTTGCTTACCACTTCTCAAAGTGGTGATTGCTTACACTTATTCTTGGAAGGAATACCCTGATATGGAGTTTGCTTCCACATAATGTTGAGCTTTTAGGTTCCTTTCGAGTTGGCTAAGCAATTTACCCATCTCTCTCACATTTAATGCATTAGCTATCATCCCTATTTGGGATTTAAGCTTTGATATCGATTGAGAATGCGAATGCAACAAATTGGTGTTCATTTCCAAACTACCCAAAGCTACTAAGACCTTATCTTCAAATGTAGGGTTGCTAGAGAGTGCATGAGGATGATTAGAGCTACTTTGAGAATTATAAGCTTGAGGATGAAAGAAATGATTCATTCTTTGATGAAAAGAAGAAGGTAAGACAAATCCCTTTGAACCTTTATTTCTTTGATGAGGAGGAATATATCGGTTTTGAAAATTTTTAGTTTGAAAAGGACTTGAATATTCATTCCACACTGGTACATAAGCATTTTGAAGAGAATGAGCAAATGTGGCATTGACTTGTTCATAGTGTTCATTCAGCATATGTCCATGAGGACAATTAGAAGTAGTATGCAATATACTTGAACAAGTCATGCATGGCTCACAATAATGATGAATATGATTAAGAAGAGGAGATGATTGGGTTGCCGGTTTTTTACTTAATAGAAATTGATCAAGTTTTTGAGTTAGAGTTTTGACCTTGGCAACAATCTCCATTGGACTCTCAATTTGACACACTTTCAAATTTTTCTTTTTATTATTAGAATCATGACTCAACCGAGAAGTGTGACACTTATGCAAAGAATTTTCACTCATTTTCTCAAAAAGGTGCCAAACATCATCTTCATATTTCCCAAAATTTGATACTCCACATGAGGTATCAACAATGTCCTTTTAAATGTCGGATAGACTTTCATAGAAATATTAACCTACTTGCCATTTAGGAATGCCATGGTGTGGACATTTTCTTAGCAAGTTGTTTAATCTTTCCCAAGCCTCATATAAAAGTTCTCCTTCCTTTTGAGAAAATTCACGAATAGAAGTTCGCATAACATTGGTCAAACTCACGGGTAAAATTTCTTTAAAAATTCATTTTACATTTGTACCCAAGAAGTTATTGAATTTTCCCCCAAGTTGTTGAACCAATGCTTAGCCTTATTTTTAAGAGTGAAAGGGAAAAGGAGTAACTTAAAAACTTCTTCCTGGACATTCATGTACCTCACGATAGAGCATATTTCAAGAAATTCATCAAGATATTTATATGGTTCCTCACCATCTAAGCTATAAAAGAGTGGACACATTTGAATCATCTTAGGCTTAATCTCATTTTGATCGGCTCCAAAATTAGGAAGCACAATACAAGTTGGTGCATGGTATTCATGAAGATTATAATGATCACGAAGGATCATTGGAGGAATTGGAGCTTGAACTCCAGGAGGAAATTGGTTGAAATGAGGGTGTTCCATGAAATTCGAGTCTAAATAACTAAGATGACCCTCTAGATTTTCCATTAGGATGATGAAGGGTGGGTAGGATCACTTCAATAAGATCAACAAACAAGCACTTCGCCCCCGCAATAAATCAATCAACAAGTCTCCACATACAATGATCCCATACTGCCATGCTTGAACAACATGCAAAGAAAAGTAAATTGCCTCCACACGAGCTCACGATCTATCTAAGAAATGAAAAACAAGCCACCACGCAGACTGACAATTTAACTAGAGATTGAGTTAGAAAGATCTCACAATGGGTCCTTAAGCAACTTCAATATATTTTCAAATTTTTGCTTAGCTTTGCAATTTTTAGTCCTTTTACCTTGCTTAACCCCTTACTTGAATTCTCCTTTGCTCAACTTCCTTCACTCAATGCACCTTGTCAATCAAGAACAAATACAATAAGTAACTAAGAAGAAAATAAAGTAAAGACACGATCATAAGAGTACTAATTCCTATTTGTTTCCAAAACATGGCGTTGCCTATTAAATCCCCAGCACTGGGCCAAAAACTTGGTGGGTTAGCCGTCGGTTGCACCAAAAGTTTCCAAAGAGATGAACTAAGAGTGTGAGTGTGCAATGTGGCCAAGTCTTAAATTTATAAAAGCCACTACTACCTCTAACTAAAAATATAGCTAGGGTGAGTAGGGATAGTCCCAAGGGATTATAAACGTGCACTAGCAATGGAAACAATGTATAGGGTTAGTCGGTCGAGTGATCAAAGATTGGTTGGAAAGATATAAAGGGGAGGACTTGGGGTACTAGAGCTCACCACTAAATTTGACTTCACTAGACACTAGCAAGTGTATATTAATGAGGAAATTGACTTGTAACTTGTGTGTGTGTGTGACATTAATTGAAACTAGGCATGGATGGTAAATATGTATAGATTGTCAAGTCAAATCAAATGGAAAGCATAACCTATCAAATGAAACCAAAATCCATTCAATGAAACCACAATTTATGCACACATAGTTATCTAGAAACATGCACCTAATGCAATCATAAGTATGAAACACCAAGGAACAAGAGTAGATTGTCCACCTATCTATGAATTTAAAGCAACTACACTACATCTACACTAAAGACATGAAATTAAACTAAGTAAGCTAAAGGTGTGGTGCAATCCATCAAGAAACAAGTATGAACCATCAAATAAATTGCAAGAGTGTTCAATTAAGCTCTATATTTTGACCATCTCTAGATTAATTTCATCCATACACATAGACATGCATAAACTCCACTAAATCTAGAGAAAAGTACATAAATCATCCATTCTAACATATATAGACATATGGTTAGAAGTAGATAATCAATTGAAAGCATTAATCCATACACATCAAGTAGAAACCACATGATATATATATATAAATCCAAGATTAAAACATTGTTACAAATAAATCCCCAAAAATATATAAAGAACTAAGTCTAGGAAGCAAACTTAGGGGATACTCTAGCCCCAAGTAGATGTCTAGCCACTCATTGAAGTATTCATCCAACCCTCAAGGGCTATCTCCATGGTAGGAATGACCTCCTTCTTGATGGAAACCCTAGAAGAATGGAAGAACTCCGCAAAAATGTGTAAAGCTCTCTAATCTTTAGCCTCATCTCCAAGATAAGAAATGTCACACCCAATGGTCTTGGCTCGTACACCAAGGTCCCTCCAATGATTGTACCATGAGCTAACTTTTAATGAGCTGGAATCTATTTTTTTTCAGACTTAAGGAGGTTCGATCGATCGAACAGTGGTAAGAACGATCGAACTTGGCTGAGATTCGAATATTGCAGAGATCGATCATCTTTGGCGGCGCCTTTTTGAATAAAGACAAATCTCTAAGATATTTTGGGAAAAAAACAAAAGTGGTAGGTAGGTGGTAGATGTGGATAAGATAGGATAAGATCGAATCATTTCGATCGATCTTAGAAATGTTGGATTGATCAAACTTGGTGGATTCTTTTGGATAAGGACAAATGCTTGGATCCATCTTGAATTGTTTAGATTGATGAATTTTCGATCGATCGAAGAAATGTTAAGATCGATCGAACATGCTGAATTTCCACACTTTGCTTCATTTTGCTCCCACTTTGCTCATTTCTTCCATCCAGCTTGAGTTAGCTTCTTTTAAGCTCTTATTTGGCTAAATTAACTTATTTTTTGGATAAGTGACTGAAAAGGGCAATAACATGAAATTAGAATAAAACGAAAAAATAAGATAGATAAAGGTCCTAGAATACCTAAGTTTAAGGGGTTTAAACGCGTACTTTTCAGTCCTCATCACCTTTTCATGGTTTTGACATCCAAAATTTGAGAGTGAATTTGCTTGTAAATACAAAGCAAAGTGTGTGAGATTTTGGGTGTAATTGGGTTTTGGGTGTGAGCCACTTAAGCATTGTATCTCTTTATTTCCATAGTGAAATATTGGTCTGTCTTCTTCCCGTGGATATAGACATAGCCGAACAACGTAAATCCTTATCTCGTTTGTGTGTGCACTATTTTTTTTTTCTCTCATTTATTTTTTCTCTTGTTCTCATAAACTCTTATTCGATCCTTATTTCTGTAACAAACTGGCATTAGAGCTCGGTTCGTTTATTGTGTACAGATACTGTTCACACATACGGTACTGTTCACTGATACTTTTCGGGTGCTGTTCACAAATACGGTACTATTCACCGAGGAATTTTTGGGGGGAGTTTTTTGAGATGTTGACCAGATATGAAATTGAAAAATTTGATGGCAAGATTAGTTTCAGTCTTAGAGCATTAAGATGCAGGCCCTGCTAACTCAACAAGGTCTAAAGAATGTGCTGTTCGGGAACGACAAGTTGCTAGAAACTAGGTCCAATGAAGACAAGGATGAGGTCGATGAAAAGGCGTGCAGTGCGATTCTCCTGAATCTTGCCGATGAGGTGCTGCATGAAGTTATTGATGAAGACATGGCGGCAAAGTTGTGGCTGAAATTGGAGAGTCTGTACATGACGAAGTCTCTCACCAACAAACTTTACCTGAAACAGAGACTCTATATCCTTCGTATAAAGAAAGGTATGCCTCTTAAGGAACATGTTGATAATTTCAATTATATTATTATGGATTTGAAAAATACTGTTATTAAAATTGATGAAGAAGATCAAGCCCTAATTTTTATGTATTCTTTGCTGCTTTCCTTTGAGCATTTTGTTACCATATTGCTCTATGGAAAAGACACCATTAGTATGGAGGATGTTAAATCCTCACTGAACTCTCAAGTGTTGAGAAAAAAAGTGTTTGGAAATAATGGAGATGAACAGGCCAAGGGTTTGGTTGTGAGGGGAAGAAGTGAGAAAAAGGGCTATGGTAGTAGGGGCAAATCGAGATCTAAGGTCTTATAAAGATACTGAATGTTATTATTGTTACCAAAAAGGGCACATTAAGTGGAATTTTCCAAAATTGAAAAATAAGAAGAAAGATAAAAAGGATAAAAAGGAGTCTAAGGATAAATCCACTAGTAATTCTTCTGATATTGCTGGGGTTGCTGAGGAAAGTTCCTCGGATGTCGAAAATATTCTTTCAGTTTCTATCAGTGATTGTCACTCTAGTAGTGAATGGGTTCTTGATTTTGGTTGTTCCTATCATATGTGTCCCAATAGGGACTGGTTTTCTACTTACCATTTTGTTGATGGTGGTACTGTCTTAATGGGGAACGACAATCCCTATCAGAGTGTTGGTACAGCCATAATCCAAATTAAGATGCATGATGGTATTGTTAGAACTTTAACTGATGTTCGGCATGTTCTAGATTTAAAAAAAAAATTTAATTTCTCTTGGTACTCTTGACTCTAATGGTTACAAGTTTTCAGCTGAATGTAGAGTTTTGAGAGTTTCTAAAGGTGCTCTTACTATGCTTAAGGGAAAACAGAGAAAAGGCCTCTATTTTTTGCAGGGTAGTACTGTGACAGGCGCTGCTTCAGTATCTTCTTCAATTGATCAAGATTCAGTAACTACCCATCTATGGCATATGCGTTTAGGGCATATGAGTGAGAGGGGTTTGACAGAATTAAGCAAACGAGGTTTGCTAGGTGGAGAGAAGACGGGAAAGCTGGACTTTTGTGAGCATTGTGTCTTTGGCAAGTAGAAAAGACTCAAGTTCAGTACAGCTATTCACAAGACCAAGGGCACTGTTGATTACATTCATTCAGATCTTTGGGGTCCTTCCTAAGTTCCCTCTCTTGGTGGTTCTCGATATATGTTGACTTTTATTGATGACTTCTCTAAGAAAGTCCGGATCTATATCTTAAAACAAAAATATGAAGTGTTCCTTAAGTTTAAGCAGTGGAAGGCTATGATTGAAAATCAAGTTGGAAAGAAGATCAAGCTTCTCAGAACAAATAACAGTTTAGAATTTTGGTCAAGAAAGTTTGACGAGTTCTGCAGTAATAAAGGCATTGTCAGACACCATACAGTTCGAAAGACTCCACAACAGAATGGTGTAGCGGAACGCATGAATAGAACTCTCTTGGAAAGAGCTCGTTGTATGTTTTTTAATGCTGGGTTGTCTAAGGGATTTTGGGCTGAAGTAGTCAACACAGCTTGCTATTTGGTGAACAGGTCACCATCAACTGCTCTTGAGTGCAAAACACCTAAAGAGGTATAGCCTGGTACTCCTACTGATTATTCTAATTTAAGAGTTTTTGGATATCCTGCTTATGCTCATGTTAATGAAGGAAAACTTGAGCCTAGAGCCAAGAAATGTATTTTTATTGGCTATGCATTCGGGGTGAAGGGATACAGGTTGTGGTGTCCTGATCCTAAGTCACCTAAGTTTATTACCAGTAGAGATGTTACTTTTGATGAGTTTGCTTTACTTCACCCGAGAAAGGAGTCTTTTGTTACAAGTGAATCTCAGGGTGTTAAGCAGTAGGTGGAGCATGAGTTTGAAGCTCCAGAGAAATAAGTCAACACTCCAGTTTAGCCGGATGTTGAAGAAGTACAGGATGATCAAGTACCAGATGAACAACAGTACAGTATTGCTACAAGGAGATAGAAAAGGCAGATTAAACCTCCTGAAAGGTATGCTTATGCAGATTTAGTTGCTTATGCTTTGTCTGTGGCAGAAAATATTGAAGATAAGGAGCCTTCTACCTACCAAGAAGCTGTCACAGGAAATGAATCTGCCAAGTGGACTGTTGCTATGGCTGAGGAAATTGAATCTCTTCACAAGAATCAGACATGGGAGTTGGTGAAACCTCCTAAAGGCCAGAAGATTGTTGGTTGCAAATGGGTTTTCAAGAAAAAGGAAGGAACTCCAGGTGGTGAAGATGCAAGGTACAAAGCACATTTGGTGGTAAAGGGTTATAGTTAGAGAAAAAGTGTGGATTTCAATGAAGTTTTCTCACTAGTTGTGAAACACACCTCTATTCTCATGTTGCTTGCCATAGTTGCTCAATTTGACTTGGAGCTTAAGCAACATGATGTCAAAACAGCTTTTCTACATAGTGAGCTTGAAAAAGAAATTTATATGCATCACCCAAAGGGGTTTGTTGTTCAGGGAAAAGAAGACCATGTTTGTTTGTTGAAGAAATCCTTGTATGGGTTGAAGCAATCTCCAAGGCAGTGGTACAAGAGGTTCGACACTTTTATGGTTGGTCATGGCTACTTGAGAAGTAGTTATGACAGTTGTGTCTACTACCAGAAGCTCTCAGATGGTTCTATTGAATACTTGTTGTTATATGTTGATAACATGCTTATTGCTGCAAAAGACATGTCAAAAATCAACAAGTTAAAATCGCAGTTGAATACTGAATGTGAGATGAAAGATCTCAGTGCAGTGAAGAAGATTTTGGGCATGGAAATTCAGAGGGATCGTCAAGTTGGTAGGTTGAGTTTGTCATAGAAGAGTTATATTGAGAAAGTGCTTGAGCGATTCAACAGGCAGAATTCCAAGCCTGTGAGCACACCACTTGCTGCTCATTTTCGTCTTTCTGTAGCTTTATCACCGCAGTCCGAAGAGGAGAAGGAGCATATATCACGTGTTCCTTATGCTAGTGCAATTGGTAGGTTGATGTATGCAATGGTTTGCACTCGCCCTGATATTTCACATGCAGTCAATGTAGTTAGCAGATATATAGATAATCTGGGAAAAGAGCATTGGCTAGCTGTGAAGTGAATTCTTCGGTATTTAAAAGGTACTGCAGATATTGGCTTAGTTTATCAGAAGAGCAGTGATAATTTTGGCAGTGTTGTTGGTTTTGTGGACTCTGACTGTGCTGGTGATTTAGACAGAAGAAGATCTCTGACAGGATACATCTTTACACTCTCAAGTTGTGCAGTTAGTTGGAAAGTAACCTTGCAATCTATAGTTACTCTCTCTACTACGGAAGCAAAATATATTGCGGCCACTGAAGCAGTGAAGGAATCCATTTGGTTGAGAGGTTTGGTTAGTGTTTTGGGTTTGCCGTAGAGCTCAACTGTTATTTATTGTGATAGTTAGAGTGCGATATATTTGACCAAAAATCAAATGTATCATGAGAGAACCAAACACGTTGATGTCAGATATCATTTTATTCGGGATGTTATATCAGAAGGAATTACTATATTGAAGAAAATTAGCACAGCTGAAAATCTGGTGGATATGATGACAAAGTCCATTCCGGCTCTCAATTTCAAGCATTGCTTAGACTTGGTTGGTATTCTTAAATGTTGAAATTGCCCTTAGGGGCTTAGTGGAGAAGACAATTTTGTTTGACAGAGATACAGTGGCTCATTTGAATTTTCGCCAAGGTGGAGATTTATTGAATTTATGGCTCAATTTCTGCCAACTCACCATGTAATATGGTCACCCATGACATCAACTCTTGCATCACCCATTTGCTTCATTCCTTGCATCATCAAATTTGGCCTCCAAGTGTTGTGATCAACAAGCCAGCCCATTGCGTGGTCACCAAATCTAGCCCATTTCGTGGTCTCCAAGTTCACAAATAGTGTGATTTTTTTTTTGGCTATAAATAGCTTGGCCTTCTCATGGTTTTGGCATCCAAAATTTGAGAGTGAATTTGCTTGTAAATGCAAAGCAAAGTGTGTGAGATTTTGGGTGTAATTGGGTTTTGGGTGTGAGACACTTAAGCATTGTATCTCTTTATTTCTATAGTGAAATATTATTCTGTCTTCTCCCCGTGGATGTAGGCATAGTCAAACCACGTAAATCCTTATATCGTTTGTGTGTGCACTATTTTATTTTATTTTTTCTCATTTATTTTTTCTCTTGTTCTCATAAACTCCTATTCGATCCTTATTTCCATAACATATATGATTATTAGTTGAAAACAATAGAAAAAGAAAGGAAAAAAATATAAGAAAAGAAAGGATCATTCCAGAAACTATAGATTCGCTGATACATTGAGAGAGAGATAAATAAGACAAATGTAAAAAGGGTATTTTTGTCTAAAAAGAATTAATTTAATATGCGAAAAAATGTCAATAATTTATTGCCACGTGAGGTCAGTCTTTTAATCGGTATTTATGGTCGTCAAAAATATCATTTTCCTAGTAAAATATGATGAAAGTTTGTCGCCGCCCATGTGGATGGGTTGTCGACCAATTTTTTAATTATTTATTTATTTTTAAAATAGATAACCCACATTTGATAGCGATCCAAAGTGATACTGTCATCCATCCTAGTTGGTACAAGGTATTTGTCTCGTATAAAAAGTAAAATGGATATAAATAAGTGAGTATGTAAGACTACCTAATAATTTACATTTTTAGATAAATGAACAAGTACCCTCTCGAGTCAGACCCAATTCTTGATCCGGTGTCACACTAAGCTTCTGAGTGAGCCTATGCGGGTAGGCAAGGTGACACAACCGCAATGAGAGCATTGCGAATTTGAGTGAAGGAGAATGTTATAAAGAATACTTGTCCCACATCAGACCTGAATGAGAAGTAAAATAAATATAAATGGGTAGGTATATAACATTACCCAATAATTTAAGTTTTTGAATTCTCTTCTGTCCACCTAAGACAATATTGTGCTTCATTCTGTGTTTATATTATTGTTCGTTGGTTGGTGTTTGAATCCAACATTTTGTTTGTGTCGAAAAAATGAGGGATTAATTTCTGACAAGTGGTATCGCATGGATAAAAAAGTAGATAAACATGAAAGATCTCCCATAGGAAACATATAAAACCAGGAACATATACAAGAAAATAAAGCAGAGCAGTCAATGCTGCCAAACCACAAACCAGGAACACTCGAAATCAAAGTATACAGAGGCAAGAAAGCTAAAAGTAGCAACACCAAATATGCCAAACACATCAACCATCCAACTTAGGTCCAGTGGAGGACCACCTGGACTTGTGTTTAAATGCAGCTGCTAAGCAAGAACTAATCTGCTGAAAAATTTCTGGCATTAGAAGCAATTCTCAATTCAACAGATTAATCTGACTCTCACAAACCAAACTACTTGATTGATTCATTGAATGATAGTTTGGAAAGACAACTGATTGAATCATAGGGGTCTTTAATTACCAAAAAAAATAGTGAGGGCTGTGACGGCCCAAGTTTTTCAACCCGGTGCGTCAGTGATGAACCGAAAGTTGACCCGGTAACGGATCCGAAATGCGGAAGCAAAAGATGAAACCAAGGTCTTTAGAGATATAAACCATCTCTAAGACACCAATGTGACCTTCCATGAAGCCACGAAGCTCAAAGAGGATAAAAGCGGAAACAAAGGTCAAAACAGCCAAAAACTGTGAACTAATGGCAAAATGGTTAACTCACAATTAAAAGGAGAAATTTGACTCTGAACAAGTCAAACAAGGTGAAAACAACCTAATTTATTCATTTCACAATATTCCAAGAGGTTCTAAGAAAATTGGACATGAATCCCTCAAAGATGCCCTATCCCGGTCGAAGTGAAAACTGACACTACTTCACTAAAACATGAATAACTCTCACTGTGTTTGGAATCTGAGAATGGCATTGGTACCATTGGAAATTTCACTCAAAATCCATGAATTTAGGCTCAAGAATCACCCCATTTGGATTTAAAACGAAGGAGTTAGGACCATTTAAAGTCGGAAGAACAGTGCTGAAACTGGACTGAAGCTACTCTCGGGATCCACCTATTTTGGTCGACCGAAATGAGCCATCGGATGACCGAAATGAACAAAATTTGTGCTAAAAACATGTCTATAAGGCTTGGTTGGTTTGATACACCAAAAGGAACCATCGATCGACCGAAATGAGCCATCGGTCGACCGAAATGACCCTAAATGTTGACTTTGGCTACTGGAAAGTGAAGTTTCAAGGTTCAAACAAAACCCAAAAGGCTTCGGTAGACCGAAATGGCATTTCGGTACACCGAAATGACTCGAGAAAGTGCACAAACCTCCTGCTATGCACCCATGGCTGAAAGTCCACTTGGAATATCCCATGGCATGATTAAATTACATTCTATGCTAAAGTGTGATGATGTAAACATGCACACAAGTGTAATATAGCATTTAAAATATGATACAATGGCCTATGGCCTCATTACATTCCATTTTCAAGATTTGACATGCCAAACCTCAAAGTTGGAAAAGTTTACATTTCAAGAACAAAACTTGCAATTTAAATGCATACACTTGAATCTTTAAGTTTATGGCCCTTGGCCTCATGTCATACGCATCAAATACATTGAAAGGAATGTACTTATGTACACTTTACATGATTAGAATCAAATATACATGTTTTTGACATATAAAGCTACAAGGGCTTTTCAAGCCAAACTTCACAAAAATGGAAACCTTCAACTCCACAAATCATCCAAGCATAATGAGAGTCTCAACTTTAATCCCTGAACCTGAAAATGTCCCCACTACGTGGGTGAGTAACATAAAGCTACTCGTAGGAAATGAGCATGCATCGACCTAACGTTTTACAAGTTAGCATGATTTAATCATTATGGTTCATTCCACCTAGCGTCTATGTCAAGGTGAGACTCAGGGAGCATCCTAAGCTACCCTAGATCAGTTCTAGCATCAATTACCTCATTCATGCAATTTCAACAACATAGGAGCATACTTACACAAAGCAATAATATAAGAACATGCTTACACCAAGCATCAATATAGGGACATGTTTACACCAAGCAACAAGATAGGAATATGCTTACACAAAGCAACAAGATATAGATTTTCAAAGTAATCAACTTAAATTCTAAATTGCGAAATCAACTAAATATAGCAATTTAGTATAATTAGAATATCTATTACCACACATCAAGACATAGATTCTCTAGACTATCAACTAGAAATCTAAAAGTGTGAAATCAACTAAATATAACAATTTAGTATGGATGCACTTAACAACATCAAATCGCCAATAGCCAAAACCACAAGTCACAATATAAACATGATTGCAAACTTGGAATTGAATGCGAAAACAAAAAGTGGAAGACTTGGACATCATGCTCGGAATTCTGCCGAGACCTCAATGGTTATTCCGGGCACTAACCCGTAGGGAAGACCACCCTAAGTGCACACTATCTCAATTGGGGAGAACTCATACCTCCCGCACTAGAGCCAAACTCTAGCCATGTCACATGTAGCAACAATGTCCCAAGTAACTCCAAAATAATCCAAATAAGTTCATAACATATACATACTTTATATAATGCACGAAAATCACATTCCATGCACAAGTAGGTTGAAACCACATAATCCATGCATTAAGTTTCAATTCTAAAATGACATACATAATGTCAACACAAAGTGTAGAATTCCTTACACAAGTCAATCATATATTCAATTTTGGAAACAAGTTCTTATGAATATAAATTTAGCAACAATGCTCTTCGATGCTTAAAACGTAATCAAGTAAACACTCAACAAGTCCAAACCCATGATCTCAACATAGAAGCAACTTCTAAAACATGATTAAATTCATGGATAAACAAGATAGAATTTAATTACATCAAAATAATTAAACTCTCTAGATTTCAAATCATCCCCAAATGGCCTCAATTTAATATATGTTGAAACACATATCATGATCATTACATATATTCACACAAAAGCTTAATTAGGCCCATGAAACCACAAAATATATTTTAATTAATTCTCTTAATTAAAGTCTCTAGATTTTCAAACCCAACCAAATGCTCTCAAATTAAAGTATGTCAACAAACATGCCAAAACTTAATTTAGAAGTATAATACAACTCAATTTTATGCAAAGTACGGCCATGAACTTTAATCTTTCACAAAAGATAAATATTAATTAAAAAGTGCAATTCTTATTTAATTAATCCAAATTTAATATATGTTAACCAACACATTAAAACAAGATTTTCTAGCATGCCACAATTTAAATCCAAGTTACACATCATCATGAATTTTAAATCTTATACAAAGAAATAAAAATTACTAACTTTCTAGATTTGATACAAGGCATAGATATATCTTATATAATCATGGTAAACACGCAATACAACACACAAATAATCCTAAAACATTTCGTACCTCTATTTGAGATGAAATCTCAAATCCCCACCAAAATGAATGTGCTCCGAATCCGACGAAACTTCTAGGTTTTGTCGGAGACAACACCGTGAACATAACCCCCAAGGAAGCCCCATCAAATTCACATCTTGACTTCAAACCCGAACTCAAGAAATGGCGAAAACTGAATTCTAATAAGGGGAATGGAAGAGCACGTCGAGGGGAACAATAAACATAAATGTACTACACCTTTTCAACCAAGGGAAGTGGCCGGAAAAAGAAGAAGAAGACTGGCAGCCATGGCTGCCATGAGATCCGGCCAAGAAAGAGGAGAGAGAGAGAAGAATCTGATATTTTCTCTTAAGTACCCCTATTTATAGAAAAGCCCTAAAAGTGCCCCGAACGGGCCCCGCCGGGTCTGGAAAAGTCAAATTTGAGCAGACACGCTCAAACGGCAAAACTCCATGAATGAAAAAGATCCAAAATGAGAAAATAAGAATAACAGAAGAAACAGCATCAAAAATCGAGTCCCGAGCAGAAAGTTATGCCCCAAATAAGTTTAGCGCAAACAGAGGCCAGAAACCCTAAACTGGAAAACATCAACCAGAAGGAAATTCCAAGAGTACACGACTCAACGAAAAGTGAAAATGAATCCTGTACGATGATCCAAGCTCAAAACAAGGCATTTAGCAATAACTTTCATTAATGGCACAATGGCCTCTCCAAAGAGTGAAAACTATGAAACTACCCCAGAATGAAAATATCTTCCAAAAAGATATTTTCTTAGAAACCCCTTAAATAAATATCTTCAAAAGATATTTATGAAAAACACACCAAGAAAAGAAAAAGATTCCAAAGAACTGTGCATCCATGCCCCTATAGACACCGACAGCAACCAGAGTACTTTACTACAAAAGTAAAGATACGTATTTTATGGAAACCACTGAGAATGAAGATACGTGAAGTCAAAAACCAACTTCTAACACAAGAAGTGTGGTTACGCCAACAAAGTGACAAACTGGGAAAAGACAAAATAGGGAAAAAGACGAAATGGGGAAAAGGACAAAAAGTGAATAGTGTCGAAAAATGAAAAATGTGGAAATGACTCGGTCCTCAAAGGAAGTTGTCAATTCAAAGAAAAGAGTCTCAGAAATCACTCCAGAGCACTCGAGACGACACTAAGCGACGAGGAACTGAACTAAGAAAGGAAAAGATCAACGGAAAAAAATTTATCCGAAAAAATCTGAGTCATTACAAGGGCACTAAGTTTTTAGCATGTATAAAAAAATTCTAGTGAGCACGGACCACTACAATAGCTCTATCCATTGATGGGTCCTTATTATGTCAAAAATCTATTTTACGGAGTAATATTGATATTCTTGAGAGAGAGAGAGAGAGAAAGGGGGGGGGGGGGGGGTTGTGCATCCCACTATAGTAAAATTTGAATAAAGTAAGACATGACAAATACAAAATACTACTAAATTTGGTACCTGTTAATCCAAAGCTTTTATCTTTCAAGCCATTCCAACATTTGCAAGAAAGGAGATTTTAATTTTTTGGAGTGTAATCAAGGTATCTTTCATGTTGATCCTCTTCTCAGGTGAATCATTTGAACAATCCAATGCCAAACCAAAGATTGATGATATACATTGCTCCTTTACAGAGAGATGTTCATCATCTCTTCCTATCAAATTGGTGTCCACAACTTCAAATATTGAATCATCTAATGCTTCATTCACCCAATGCTTCAAGCTTTTCTCTTCAGAAAACATTTTATCATTTGGCTTTTTTCTCATGAACATTTCCATCAACATGATATCATAACTATAGACATCAGATCTTATTGACACTCTTCCTTCCATTCCATACTTTACACACCACATCAACATTATTTTTAAAAAATAAAAAATGAAAATATAATAAACAAAATAGCAAGTTCAAAAATAAATAAGAGAATTTGAATCAATATAAGTAACATGGAACATCACCTAATGCCATATATCCAATTATTGCTAAGGTTATGGTTTGCGCCATAAAATCCCAATCCCCTAAGATTTTTGCAATACCAAAATCAGCAACATGTGCAATCATATCTTTATCAAGCAGGACATTGTTGGGTTTCAAATCACAGTGAACAATGGGTGTCGCTTAACCATGATGTAGATATTCCAAGGTTGACGCAACATCTATCATTATGTTGAGTCTTTGTACGATATCTAGACAATAGTTGTGAGAATACAACCACTTGTCAAGGCTCCTATTAGGCATGTACTCTAGTACCAAGGCTCTAAAATCCAAGTTAGTGTAACTGCTGATGATTCTTATAAGATTTTGATGGTGACTATTGCATATCACTTCACATTCGACATCAAAACTGTTGAATGCTCTTTCTAACTGTGAATTGAAAACCTTAACTGCAATATTCATCCCATCTAAAAGCGTTCCTTTATATACAGAACCAAAACTTCCAATGCCGAGAAGGTTAGCTTCACTAAATTCATCTGTTGCATGTAAAAGCTCTTGGTACAAAATTCTTCTCCATGTCAGAGGCGATGAATCTGCATTCATTGGTAGCCTAACCTTTTGTTTTCGACGTTGGATCAACACAAATAAGAGAGCCACCACAACAATTGTTGATGCAATAGGAGGTCAAATATATTTCAAAAGAGGAACATTCTTCGACCTTGATTGTTGGTGCTTATTGCTTCTGCAGGGTGGGACTTGCAGTCGGGCTACACCACAAAGTGCATCATTATGCATAAATGATTGAGCTGTAAAGTTCATGAAATGTCCTCCAGTTGGAATTTCTCCTTGGAGTTTATTAAAGGATACATTCAGATATTGGAGATACCTAAGCGTCTCTAAGGACATGGGAATCTCTCTAGAGATATTGTTGCTGGAAAGATCCAAGAATTCCAAACTTATTGAGTTGCCCAGTGATTGAGGAATGTGTCCTTGCAGTTTATTATGCACCAAGGAGAAATTAACTAATGATTGAGAGCTTCCAATGGTGCTGGGGATATCACCTGATAACTGGTTCCATGACAAGTCTAGTTGTGTTATGACCTTCATATTTCCGACATCTAATGGTAGATTACCATTAAGAGAGTTTGTCGACAAATTCAAACCCAATAGATCCTTAAGGCTCCACGAGTTTGGAAGTATCATTGAAGTCAAGTTGTTGGAGTCCAAGTAGAGTCTTCTTAGAGACTTGAGGTCTCCCAAGCATGTTGGTTTCAGTCCAGAAAGCTTATTGTTACTTACGTAAATGTCTCCCAACTTGGTTAACTTGCAGAGATCATCTGGGATGGGACCTTGTAATCTATTGTGTTCAAGGTACAAACAATCGAGATTTTGTAACCCTCTGATTGGTGTTGGGATAGGTCCGGTCAACTCGTTGCTATCCATATAACTTGCATGCTGCTCAAATTGCCGATTCCACTGGGGACGCTGCCCTTGATCTTGCACCCAAATGCTCCAAAAGTTCGTAAAGAAGTAGACAAATTACCAATTGAATCAGGGAGTATGCCATTAAATTGATTTAATGATATGATCACTTCTTCCAAATGTCTGCAATTGGTCAAAGCAGTGAAAAATCTTAATTCTGGAGTTGAAGATTCAACTGTCAAGTTATTTATACCAAGATAAAGCCGTTGTAGGAGTGTTAAACTACCAAGCGTATTTGGTATAGAGCCAGTGAAGGAGTTGCTTCCCATATCTAGAAGGGTAAGCTTAGAACAATTGGATATATTGCTTGGGATTATTCCTCTAAAATTATTGCTTGCCAGAATAATAACTTCAAGATTGGGAAGCCAAAGCCCTGTGGTTGAAGGAATATGTCCTGAGAATTGGTTGTCCCCTAAATCCATGATTTTTAATGTTGTCACATTGAATATTTTAGACGGAATGAGGCCAGTTAAGTTGTTGCTTCGGGTAATAAATTCTATGAGATTAAGGTTACCAATCTCATCAGGTAATGTACCTGTTGCAATGTGAACACTTGCATTACTCAAACAAGATTTAAACAAAATAAATAAGGTAGTGAAATCAGGAAGGATTATTTTCCCATTGATTTTTTTTTCTCTCCCCTTGAGCAAGACATACATGGACCAAAATAGAGGCAGTATCGATGAGGGGTTACCTGTTAAGCTATTAAAACTCAGATGTAGATATTCGAGCAAAGTAAGGTTTCCAATATTCCTGGATAGGCTACCTGTGAATTTATTATTTGACAGAGCTAATACTCGAAGCCCTTTGCATTCCCACAAGTTTTGGACGGAATTTGACTGTGAAGTGATTTTCCTAAAGATATAGCTCTTCAAGAACAGGGAAATGATAATGAATGCTTACTGGGAGGTTCCCCGACAGGCTATTGTTTTCGAAATCAATAATTTTTAGAGAAGAAATGTTGAAGATTGAAGATGGAATGGGCCCAGTTAGAGAGCCACTTTGGAAGCTCAATATTTCGAGGCGTGAAAGATAACCTATCTCCGATGGAAGTACACCTGCAAAATTGTCAGAAGCAACACTTAAATTTCTCCCTTGTTTTATCAGTTTGCTTGTTTGAATTAAAAATGTGATGGGTGCCATTAGGTGATGAAACGGAGTAAATTTCTGTGAATCTAAGTCCAAATCCATATTTAAAACTATTAATTTCAGGATACCCGAATCTGACTAGGTAACCAAACGAACAAAAAAAAAAGAAAAAGAAAAATCACACAAAAAATCTAATTGGCTAGAATTTTGCATAATATGATTGAAAGGTTAGAGAAAAAAAGAAACAGGTGTACAAGTTTATCAATTTTCATTCTCCCATGGCCCAGTTTGCATTGTGCTTGCGCAACAACAACAGTAACTCACTGCCAACCACATGGATTTGACTTGCCAAAGCAAATACGAGTGTGCCAAAGCAATTGGGTAATAAACCTCTTAACCACGTATTAATATATATATACACACACACACACACACACATTTAAACAAATATGGAATTCAGGAGCACTCAAATTGCAAGTACCTGAATGCAGAGGAGCTCAAACATGAAACATATAGTCTAAATGTCTAATACATAAATTCAGAACTGAAGCACTCAAAAGTGTAATAATATTACAATAGTAAGTATGCATCTGTTGTACAACTATTGTGTACTTGTGTGTAGTCTTCTTATTCTTGTGATATGACATATTATTAAGGGTAAAATGCAAAAAAAAATCCCCAATCAACAACTAATTCCCTGAGCAACTTTACATTTTATTTTGTTGTAGATAGCCCATCCAACAAGGCTACGGTCGGACCCTACCTTTAAAGTGACCATCACATTATTAATTAGGGTTAATTTCACTGACACTCCCTTAAGTTTAGCCAAATATCACTCTTAAACATATTTCGAAAATAACTATCACTCACATTATAAATTTTTGCTTCATTTTTCACTCACACCCCAACCATTACTTGCACAGTTATGACACAATTTAAAATGACCTAAATACCCTTTGACTTTGTCAAAACAATTATTTAATCTAAAGAATCAGATAAAAAGACTAAAATATCCCTAAAACTATATACATATTTATATATATATATACACATTATATATATACATACCCATTTGGTTGATATATATGTATATATATATAGATACCCATTTTGTTTGAACCCATAATAAATTTATACTATATATATACACACACACACACATATACATAATTAGTTTTAGATATGGACATATACATAATTAGTTTTAGAATACCTATTTTGTTTAAACTTCATACTATATACATTCACACACCCACATAATTAGTTTCCTATTTTAATTTGGATTTGTTCATGTATATATTAATTTGGAACTTTTATTAAATTTGTTTTAATTCTAAGCCATCTGTAATTTATTTTTAATTATAATTAATTGAATTTATGTTCAAGTATTTTTAATTGTTATTATAACACCCCCAAATCAAATTTAGTGGCATTAATTTTGATTTTTTCCACTGAAATGTTTGTGACTCCACAATTATTTGCCCCAACTTCAATTCTATTATAGAATTGTTAGCAAATAATTTTGCAATAAACCTAAATTATATGATCACGAGTCTCTTAATTCCCAATTATCCGTAAAAAAATATATGGAGAACGGTAGAAGATACAAAAGTCTACCACTCTACAATCCACCTAAGAATCAATCAAACAGCAACCAGAAGAGAGAGAATTGAAGTGAAAAACAGAAATTATGAAATGGGTATTGAAGACTAAGAAAAACAAAAACCATTAAACCCAATTGAGGAGTGATTAAGGCAGTGGAATCAGAAATTACAGAAAGCCATGAAACTGAAGAACTCAACATCCAAACACATGAAGAGAAGAGAAGAGAAGAGAAGCAATGGTGAAGATGGCCTGCCCCAATCGCAGACCTAATTTGTCGTCTCTGCCTTCACCGCCGACCACCCACCAATTTATTAGTTCGGCAATTTGCCGCCATCGCCTCTGTATGCGAGTTGCGATTGTTACATATATATATATATATACACACGCGCGCGCGCGGGGAAAGTGCAAAAAAACACCTGAAGTATACATTTCATAGCACTTTTACTTCCTATTTAAAAATGTGTGCAAAAAACACCCTTATTCTTTTCAATTTGTGCGAAAATACCCCTCAATTAATATAATGCCTATTTTACCCTCTTACTCTTCCAAAAATGTCACTAAACTCATTTTCTCTGTTCTCTTTTAACCTTTTTTCTTTCTCCAAAGGAGTTGCCCACGCACCGATGAGAACAGAGGATGGTTCAGCGGGTTGGCAAGGCGATACATCGGGGCTCCTACATTGGACTTGCAACACATTTGGATTATGGAAAACTCAAAGGAAGAATCAACTGAATGAGTCTGAAGAGAACCTAAATGAAAACAAAGAGGCAAAACTGATAATGGAAATTCTTAAATGTCAACTCCTCCATTTTTTTTTCCCTTGTACTCGTGCTTAGTAATCAAATTTACATGAGCTGTGTATGCCAGCACATTTGCAATATAATTCACAACCAATGCTTATAAGGTACTGTTATTTGAGCTGCATTGATGACCTGTTTGATTGTGTGTTCAAATCTAGAGAGAGAGAGACAGTGGCCTACGGTGTATGGATGAAAATACTTCCATGCGTGTGAACACACCAGCAGGTCCAGCCTACGCAATAGAAAATATTTTTATTACATTTAAACAAAATATAAATTTATGTTATTAATTTGCTATTATATGATATGATGGACCATGCTTTTACATCAACTTTGGCTAATAAATTCAATTTGCTAATAAATTCAGTTTGAAAAAATTACTCGTATGAGGAGATGATACGTATCTCTCATTTTTTTTTTTGTAATTTCATGAACTAATGAAATTTCCGGCAATGGGTTGAGAACTGAAATTTCCGGTCTGATGTAGGAATAAATTTCGGCCTGAATTTTCGGCTGTTGCTGGAATAAATTTCATGGGCAGTAATGCTTGGCTTACTTCTTTATTCCGGCTTGACGCAGAAATAATATCCGACCTGATGCTGAAATTTTCGGCGTGAACAGCAGCGGTGACTCACCGAGGCCGGCGACAAGGATGGTGGCGAGAACGGGCTCTCCCCGTTTCTCTTACCCTCCCACTTTTTTGACTCCTCCGATTCCGACCATTGCCTTTCCTATTCCCAAATTCCAAAAAAAAATTAAAAAATTTCCCACTCTGTAACTACCAATCTTACAACTACCAACATAAAGAAGCAAGCCAAGCATTACCTTTCTCAGGCTCTACCCCTCTGCTGGATGAAGCCCCTTCTCCACCGTAGGCCCTATATTTACTTTCAGTGTGGTACCGCCATCACTTCCTTAAAGAGGTAATGCCGGAACAAACTCTCGCTGGACGTCCTGGGTTAGCACCAAGATGAAGAAGAAGAAGAAGAGTCAAACCCTTTTTAGTCATTTCACAAAATATTATATATATTATAAAATGTGTTGCTAAGGGCATTTTTGTCTAATTTGTATAAATATGACCTATTTGCACAAATGTCATAGTTTAGGGGTGTTTTTTGCACGGGAGGGGTGCAATATGCACTGTAAGCATATTATAAGGATGTTTTTTTGCACTTGACTCATATATATATATATATATATATATATATATATATATATATATATATTTGAGGGGTATAATGGTCATTCAAGTAATATGATATTTTGAAATAAATAAGATTAAAAAATTATATATATCTGAGGGGTATAATGGTCATTCAAGTAAAATGATATTTTGAAATAAATAGGATTAAAAAATTAAGGGCAAAGTTATCTTTTCTCATATTTTGAACGGAAATTTTAACGGAAAAATAAAAATGGATAGTTATTTTCGAGTGATATTTGGCCAAACCTGTGGGGGTGTCAGTAAAATTAACCCTATTAATTATCATAATGCCATTATGAGCATGAAAAGTCGCCCCCATATCTATACACTTATGTCAATACACTCTTCATCATCAATATATAGGCAAAAGAGCAAAAAACTCCCCGAACTATAGAGTTGTTGCAAAATGCCCCCCTAAACTATTTTTGGGAGCAAGTTGTACCCCTCAACTATACAGATGTTGCATATTGCCCCCTTATAATTTACCGGAGTGTACTTTCCGTCGGTCTGAAGGGCACAATTACTAAACAACCTCCCACTTATTAATTTATTATTAAACTAATTAAATATC